ATTGAGACACCCTATTAAGAAAAGAGTCAATTGTGCACAATGGGGGGCATTTGGGGACTCTTTTGGTGAATTATTTGTTTGCATCAAAACACTTTGGAAATGGCTCATTGTGCATGCAAGAGTGCAGATTTCCATCCCTATGCAGGGAGAGGGATGGAAGGGATGTTAAAAATGTGGTTATCTGCTGTAAGGACAACTGGGAGAGGAATAACGCTAGAGAATAAGGAATCTCAGAGGATAAAAAAACACTTCAAGTATTGTTGTGTCCTGACCATGAGTAAGAGTCCTTTGACAGAAATCCTGAAAAATGTATTGTACCTTTCCAAGTGGTGATGCTGATAAATTTCATGTTTCCTGGTTCAGAAATAAGGATCTTAGTGATCTGCAATCCTGAATGCAAATATGAGGAGAGCATTAGGGTCCTCAAGGAATCACTCAGCCAGGTTCTCTGAGTTTGTCATCTATGGTAGCAGGTAAGCTAGGCTGGAAGTAATTTCTGCCAAGAACATGAGGAACAGGTACCTGCCTGCTGCAAGGAGGTGGGGTAGGAGGATTACTACAAGTCCTGGGTTGGTCCTACTCATTTTGTAAGGAGGAACTGCACCAAGGCTCGATGGCTAGCAGTGCTCTCTGGAACAGGATAGGAAGGAGGGAGCTGCAGGGAGAAGACACATAGAAAGACAATGAAAAAGCAGCTGAGCCAAAGTGAGATTTCTTGGACATCTCTGAGAGTCCTGGGCCTTTCTATGCACAGATCCTTCTGAGAAGACTCATAAAACAACTTAGCCGATTTTTCTGCTGCCCTCATTGTATTTTCCTGCCCACAAAAGCATTAGGTTATTAAAGAGAGCAATGAAGAAGGAAAGGGAAGGAAGGAAGGAAGGAAGGAAGGTGAGAGAGAAACCACAGGACTTTTAAGCCCCAGAGGGCAAAATACTGATCTCCCATGCACTTTGCAGCTGCCACAATCTTGGTTCCTATGTGTGTCTGTGTTCACACTGGGGGCACTGCTTTCCCTTTAATGCCACTTCCAAGCCCCCTCACCAACTAAAATAGCAGAAAAGCACCATTGAACTTTTGCACTGGAAATCATACAAGACAGAAGCGTTAAGGGAAGTTATTATTGGATTACTTCTGTAAGTAAAAAAAGAACCACTTTGGCAATGGTCTCTTATGCTATACTGACAAACCAGCACTGATATCTTGTGGGAGGAGGGAACTGAATGGACTATTATTCTAGGAGTTAA